AAATGGTTGTCTTATAATCGCTCCTGCTTAATATTTCTAACTGCACATAAAAAAAAGTTTGAGTGATCAATTACGAATCCAGAATCGAAAAGTCGTATTCGTACCGAAGAAGTGTCCACCTACGTGTTCACGTGATTGACCAAAACCAGCCTTCGATTTGTAGTCTGTAGCAACGGAAACTCACTAAGTCAATACGTATTTCGATGTATTTCCGATTAAGAATTTTGTTTATGCGTAATAATGGGCATCATATTCAGAAGAAATACGATAGAGCAACTCGAAAACTGTATAAGACAATTTTCTCAATGGAGTTCAGTGTGAGAACGAAACCATGGTAATTTTGTAGTGCATGTCCCATATATCTACGTCGATCAGGAGACACGTCAAAAACATGCGGTTCAGGATCTAATTCAAAATCGGCATGAGTTTAGGATGCTTCTATTCAAGAAGTATACCCACCCCTCAACTAGCAGGAAGTGTTTAACGTTGTTTACAGCTTCGATGTGGATGTGGCTACTGCAATCGGAAATTGAACATCTGGACTAAAGAAAACTTATCTACAGTATGTCTGGGACATACTGATCATTGGTAATGAACAAGTCCTTATTGAGGAACACTAATCCCGTCAGACGAAGACCTGTCAAAGCTCGGAAAGTTGATAAAAGAGTCCCAGTATATTTTGGTGATGAAACATCGCATCTGAAATGAATACTTACCCTGTGTTGTGATAAGTGAAAGCTGGGGTGCTATTACAAACTTGAACGATGAAATAACTGGCATAGACTAAACTCTAAAGTTTAAAGTTATGAATGTGACGGCAAAAAACTGGTGTTAATCAGCCTGCTAATCATTTATATCCTGGTGATGCTTCAGAGTTAGTGGCAAAATGCGTTGGCACTAAGTGTCGAAATCTGCATGGCTTAGTGCCCTCAACATGAATCGCAACGCATCTGAAACGCTGTCTTCTCCTTAATTTAAGGCCCGTATCGTGGCTGGAACTTGAGAACCTTCTTCCATTACACCCTTTCCATCCTGTCATTGACCGCATCACGGGCAGTGCTCGCTCTCGTGAGTGCAGCGTGTTTCCTCCCACAGCTGTTAGGACCACAGTTCCGATAAATACCAACCGTTACTTCTGCTTTACCGTCACCATCATCTGAAACATATTATTTGAACTAACATTAAATAATATATTTCAGAATGGCACAAACGAAAAATGCAGAAATTTTAGAACGCCACAACGCACAAAAGTCTTACCTGGGCACATTTTACTCCATCAAACGTAAGGGAAAGTTTAACCGGAGCAAAAACAGTATGTACATAATTTATTACAACTCTTAAGAAACACAGAGTTAATTCTGAAACCTTACAAACTTCTGGGAGTAACACGTAAGCAAATGAGACTTTTCCATTTGACAATGAGACGTCTGTGACATTCTGAAGGATATCATCGGATCCGCATTAAGATATCATGCACTATAATGAACATTAGAGGAGAAAGGAAAGATAGTAACCGCTGGAATGACGATCTACACATACACCTTCATGATGGTACCATTCTAGCGCCCTTCTTTTAATGAAGTTAACGATGGGGTACCGATAGGGTGGATTTCCTTTTCTACCGCATCGGCCAGGAGTGCCTTCAGTGAAAGGCAGAAACGGCAACACGTATATGGCCGACATGCTGTAAAAGTTCGCTTCTTTCACACGAAGTAGTACTCATTTATCAGCCCCAAAAGGAAGAAAAGCGAGTGACCCAGATCAGGGCATGAACCCGGGACCCTTCGGTTCTGAGTCCAACAAATTACAGACTGAGCAACACCGGCCTTATATTCAACATGAAAAAAATTACTAACAATATCTATAACATTAGCATTAAAAACTAAACGAATTATACTCGCTTGCGAACTCACTACTTTACCACATGACGTAGACATTCCGTGTTATTACAGTTAAAAATTGCATAAGGGTTTAACAAACATTTTAGGCTAGTGTGGCACAGTGCTATACCACGCATGGCTTGTTTAACCTGAACTTTAGTATCGGCAAAACCCTGACATTTAGGCCAGTCGCACTGCGACTAAAAAGTCTTTATTAACCTTGCCCTGATTTAGAGAGAACCAAATGGGGAAGAGGATGGAAAATTCAAGGGGCAAACCCAATGATCGAACTCAGGGTTCACACTGCGGTCCATTAGCCAGACATTTACCTGTTATATCCGAAGTCTGCTGGTCGTCCGGCGACGCCGGGGGCCGGTTCGGCTGTTGGCTGATGACCAGCATCTCGAGACGCTGCAGGAAGAGGTCAAGACGAAGGCCGAAGTCGTTCACCGTGTACCGGATCTCCTTGTGTAGTCGGTCGCAGAACGAGCAGCCAGTGGCAGAGGCGGTGGAGGACGCGGTGGTCGGGGTGACCTGTACGGCGACGTTCCGGTGGCTTTCTTGTGATTGCTGCACATCGGCCGTGCTCATTCCAACAGTGCGCTGGCGTGGTGGCGGCTGTTAAGTCAACACCTCAGGCAACGCCCAGTCTAAATACCGAAACAGTTCATGACTCGTGATTATCAACAGGAAGATGATGGCGGAAGTTGACGCATTAATGTATCGACAGCAAGAACAGACTAAGTGGCACCCTTAGCCGCCTGGAGCCATTTGATCCCCCTCGACTGTCATCATCTGTAAAAACGATAGTGAAGAGAAGAGGGCAAAACCAACCATTAGGAAAGAAACCAAGTTTTAGACTTTGAATAGTGTGCCTAAGGTAGAGCATATAAGTCTAATGAGAAGTTATTTCTGTGAGTTAACAGTTAGCAACTAATTTACAAACTCGGCGTTAGAAATCAATCGCATTCCATACATCGATTACCTATGTGTCTGATTAAACGAGCGAACACCCCTGACCAATTTCACTCCATGATTAAAATCATCTTTTTGGTGGCAAGACCTTTTACTGACAAACACATCACCAATGCAAGAATGACAGCGACACAGCATGGATTAACGGTCTACATTAAAGGAGACAAGAGTTATCAACGAAGATAGAGCCCAGAGGTTGAATATATACGAAAAGTACACGCAAAAAGTGAAAAATGGCAAAACAAAAAACATGTATTCAGGTTAGCAGGCAACTGATTCAGGGTGAAATCTAGCCTTCGTTCTCCACATTATACATACAGCCCATCGAGATCCAGGAGGGAAGCACTTGGTGAGCTTTTAGTCACGATAGAATTCACTGATTAAAGCTGGCCTCAAAGTCACAGTTCGCGGAGATGGCCTGTGGTATATCCATCCGACTTGTCATGCAAAAAAGAATAAATTGTACATAACGCAAAACCGATATCATTCATTGCCATTTATTTTAGTTAAGCAGTCTACGATATGACTTGCATTTAAATTCACAATTTTTCGACTACAAGTTTAGCATTCATTGAAGACAGACCATCGCTAGAAAGTTTTATCATCAATATGACAGTAAATAACTCCGCCATGGCCGGTCCCAAGCCCGGATGAGAAAGGAGGAGGGTTGGAGACCGTGGCAAGTC